ATACAAAAAAGGGATGAATGGGGAACCGAAAATCTCTGTCCATAACATCCTTGTACATGGCTATCTCACGGGGGTCGGACCCGGGGAGCCTTTCTTTAGGACCAGGGGCTCTATAGACGTAATCATCAACCCGGTCATACTTTCCTAGACATTTTTCCAACTTAAGTGGCGAATTGTAGAGACTATAACTTTTTGGGATATCTAGGGGGACAACCTCACCGACCGGGTCACGCCCGATTTCCAAATTTTGGCCTGGAGATTTAGAAGAACCAATGTGTCTCTTTGGGAGATTTGGAACAAATGGCTGAGAGTCAATTGAATGAGTTTCACTATCACTATCATAAAGGGATCTGCCGGATGAAGGGGGCGAGTCACTACAAGGGCGGATCGAAGGACCGGACAAGCCACGAGACTTAATGGGTGGCGGGGACGGCTAGCCTTCGGGCTGGCCGTAGGTCGACCAACCAGCCCCGTTGGCCGGCGACCGACCCCCCGTGGGTCGGTCGGACTCCCTCCGGCACCCTCTGACGAAGGTCCGGTCGAATCACTACACCCCCCATCACTTTTTTCATTGGAAGGAGAAGAAAGAATAGTTTTATATATGACAACAAAGATGATGAAGAGAAGAAATTTAAAGCAAGACCTTGGATTTAAAAAAGGAGAGGAAATTACCTTAAAAGAGAGAAAGCCTAGGATGTTGAGAGAAAATGAAAGTGATTTTCTAGAATGAGAATTACCCCCCTTTTATAACACTAGAATTCAAATTTTTTGGGGGGGAATTGGAGGGAAATCTCCCTCCAATATTAAAGCCATTAGTGAGGATTCATGTGTACAGTAGAATTGCCACTCGATCGTGTTTATATAGTTCGATTTGCTAATACGAACTATTCCTTTCTCTTTATATTTAAAAAAAAAAAATTCAAACCAACCTAAAATTGCTACCCCTTGCCGAAAACATCGACAAGGGGTAGAGGGGCTAATGATATAGGTTGGTAGAAGTAGCCACCCTCAAGGACAAGCAAGGCAGATCACAGCACACCGATGCAAGGCCATCGACCCTCATAGGGCGTTCTACCACTACACCCAGGGCACGCTCTACCACTACGTCTAGGGAGCGCTCTACCACAACCCCCAAAGGGCGCTCTACCGCTATCCCTAGAAATCATTCTACCACTGAGCGAAATCCTCAACGGGAATGATATTCCTTGTCCAAACACTTAGCCATAAAACCTTTAATGAATCGACAAGGTAACATGGCCGCTGATACAGGTACAATCTTCAGACGGGAAGTTAAGGACTCATCACTCAGAACGTGGGTGTAGTAGGAATATCATCGTGGGACACGTGGCACCATAACCACCCAGCGGTTACCTAGTGCCTAATATCTATAAATACCCCCGGATGTAACACAGGTAAGGGATTTTTTCTAGCTCCCATTCTCGTTTTAGCCATCTGAATTTCAAATATATTCTTTCCAAGTCTGAAAACTAATTCTCACGTCGGAGGTAAAACGGGGGAGAAAGCCCCGCCTTCATTTTTCAGGTCTTGCATACTTGACGGAGTGGTGGAAACGCCAAACATTACCGGGCAAACAGAAGGGTGTTGAGTCACCGCCCTTTCATTGTTGTTATTTTCTACTTGTATACTAGGAGAAAAATCAATTGGATAATGAAAATTTGCTGTAAAATATTGAAACAGATTGGTGCCATTTCTCAGTAGTTGGGTGCCCTTTTTTCTCAGCTGGTTGTCGTTTTAATACGACAATGGTGGTATTGATATACTTGTTGACAAATTAGTTGTTTCTCCATTCTTTTATAGCATTTTATTATCATAAATAAATTTAAATGGCACATACACATTTTAAACTACATAATGCTGTTTTGTTCTGTTTAAATCTATTATGTAACAATATGAGTGGCCTTTTGTTTGTTATTGAAGCTGTCATTCATAGTATTCAGTTTTGAGGGACTCTGGTGCAATGATTGTTATTTGTTATTTTGTTAAATTTGAAAAGAGTAATGAAGGTGGATGGATTTGGAAATAGATAGGGAATGATGAAGACACCGCAACAAATATTTTTGTATAAAAAACAATCTCATATGCAGAGTTGTATAACGAAGTCCGAAAAGCAGTTAAGGTTGATCCCAATATGTATGACATCGAGATGAAATTTCTTATTCCTGGCATGGCAAAATTATCAGTTCCGCTAATGAAAATTACTTGCAATATGAATGTTAGTTGGTTTCTTTCTTTGCATGATAAAGTTCCAATTTGTGTAACCCTTGTAGAAAATGGTTATGTTGATCAACAAGACATGTATGTTAATATTGTAAATATTAAGGAGAATCATGAATACAATTCAAATGTTGTTGCAACTAACAATGTAGTGGACATGGATAAATTGAATATGCAAAAAGATCCAATGACAATTATATGCAACCGTTCTTTCTATATAATCAAAATTTTGAAAATGATTGTGTGAACTTTACAAGTGATGATTATTGGGATGGGGTAGAAGTAGTGCATGGCAACTACATATATAATTTTCATGTGATAAATGAAGACAATGTTACTCATAATACACCTTTTACATTGATAGATGAGATCATTGGCATTTCCCAAATTGTTGCCTATCCGAATCCTTGTGGAACATCAGTTAAGATTCCTGACGTCGATGATGTGCACGTTAGCCAAATTTTTCACAACAAAAAGGATCTTCAGGCATCACTACAAATGCTTGCTGTAAGAAACTCTTTTGAATTTAAGGTCACTAAGTCAAATAAGAGTACATATGTAGTAGTTTGTGTCGAGAAAATTTGCAAATGGCATTTGCGGGCAACACGATTGACGTAAAGTGACAAATTTGAAATTCGAAAGTATTCACGTTATTATAATTGTTCATTGAATGTTTGCTACAAAGATCATAGACAAGCTAGTTGTAGATGAGATCACAAAGACCATATATATCTCGTCATATTTTTCAACCATTTAAAATTTTCTACTGGCTTTTTTTGTGTCTTATGCAACTCAAACTCTTCAAACCTCTTAGTGCACATGTTAGTAAAAGTACAATCCAAAATTGTACGATATTGTGGGAACACAATAGGATATGTATGTATTCGTGCCCTCATCAACAACAATGCTATGTCAATGTGCTGCAAATGTATAAAGCCGTTTAAGAATGAAATGAAGTATAAGCAAAATATAGAATGCTAAAATACTTGCATCACTATCGAACCATCCAAATTGCTTCTAAATTTGAACAAAAAACTTTTTGGCTTTGTGAACAACATCATTTCCACATGCTCACTGCATAAAACAAATAACATAAGAACATATATTACAACTTCACAAAAATAATTAATGTAAGAATAGTTACCTGTCAGGTGTATTAACCAACCAATTCTCTAAGTCATCTGCCTTAGTCGGATCTAGCTCTTGAAATGGGTCAAATGCGTTTACATTGTGAAGCTTTGCTCATTTTGGCAAATCTGTTGCTTGTCTTTGCTCATTTTCCACTTCAATGGGATTTGGACAGTTATTCATATCAGCTGCTTGTTTTTGTTCATTGCCATTTACGGGCAACGTTGTTTCTTTAACAAGAACTGGTTCATTTGCCAACACATAATCTTCCACTTGTCTCTCCTCATTGCCATCTTCATTCTCATCATTTTGAACTTCTACATGTACAAGTGGATCCTCATTTACATCAAATGTCTCTCCAGTATTCATAAATCCACTACGAAGAGGAGAGTGATATGTGTAAGTGTTGCTGACGGGTTTGAATTCTTCATCCACTCTACAACAGACGATATTTTCTCATCGATTTATCTATACAAAGATGTAACACAATCAAACGTTTGGTCTATGTAAGAACGCATCTCATCTATCTGCCCTTCATTTTTCCTCTCTAAAATCTCTACCATTTGTAGCAATTGCATTCTCAATTTCTGAGCGAACTCATCTCTAGATGAATATGATGTAGATGGTCCCGGATGAAATGTATGAGCATCTGTAGAAGTAAGTGGCCTATGAAAGGAAGATGGATCCCAAGGAGATGTAGAGGCATTAGGAGACTAGCAATTTTGCTGAGAAAAATCAACACGAATGGACGAATCTGTTATATTTTCCTTATCTACATAGACATCAACTATTGGATGAATCTCCATCATCCTTGAATCGATAAATCTCCATCCAGTATGTTTTAGACGCCTCTTTCGGTGCAGGTTTCAATGTGCAATGAACAACAATCTACATGAAAAATGAGAGGTTCAGTTAGTTGTCATAAAGTACACTATATATTTTGATGTACATTTAAAATTTACTTACATTTGGCTCATCCAGACTTGCACCTATATCCTTGGAGTTAGGCATTTCAGAAGAATTCCATCGACATATTCTAGGGAGGTCAGCCTCCTCTAGATTCTCACCTTATCTCCGTCCAATAGATGATATGGCTTCATAGGCCCAGATTTGCTTAAGATGTAAAATATTACAATCTAAATAAAATGAATAATCAATTTTAATTTTAAAAACATTACTTGCAAGGCGAGTGGAAATCCATAAATTGAATATGGATATTTCTCATTATTTAATGACTTCACCAAAAATCTCCAGTCTCTCGTGAATACATATATTGTGCGGACAAACACCTTTCTTTCCCAAGGATAACTATTAAAAGCCTATAGATTATCAACCATTGACAA